CATTTGCTGTTATATTAAAGTTTTTCTTCATTACCCATTCAAGCCGTCTCCAGCCATTATTAACCTTATTATTTATTAGGCATACTTACAAATAATCTTGAGATTTCTGTTTAAATGTTGTTTATGAAATTAAGCATATGACTACAAGTGAAAGTAGCCTGTAAAAAATGTTAAGGAAGAAATAAGCTCATTTTTTATCATTATGCGAACTGTACTTGGTATTATTTTTACTATGTAATCCAAAAGAAACCACTAAACAATAGTTCTTTTTCATCTTCCAAGTAAACAAACAGAGTATCATATATGTGCAATGTACATAATCCTTTGTTTCAAATTGCTGAACAAACAAAATAAACACTGTAGCTTTAAATCATTTCAAACATAATACTTCAAAAACAGCTTTTTCAAAATATACTAACCTGCTTCAGGATTGTCAGGATTTTTGTCTGGATGACAAGAAAGTGCTTTCTTCCTATATGCACTTTGTATCTAGTGAAGAAAATTCAAATTCTTATTCATTTCAATTTTAAGTACACTGTACAAAAAACAACAACAACATAATAATAAAATGCATTTTTACTCTTACACAGAGTAAAAAAAATTAATGGAAGACAAATGACCCTTAACAATTTCCAATTTTAAAAACCATTTTTAGCTACCTTTATTTTGTAGCTTGAATAATATAATTCTACAAGAAAAACAAACAAATAAAAATTAAATCAAATCAGAATATATTAATGAAACTCAATTTGTTCTTTAGATCAAAACTAAATGTCATAAGCTATATTTTCTAGATTTACTAAAACCAGTTATTTTTGTAAAGTTCTTATATTTCTGTAACAAAATCTAAAAAAAATAATTTGCATAACGTATAAAAGTTTGCATATGATTTATTAATAGGGAAGATTAATTTGAATTTGCTGACAAACTACTTTGAATATTTCATCCTTATATATTTATATGGAGATTAAATACTTTATAAAGAAGCCAAATAAATTCCAGCTTATAATTGTTTCGAACAAGACCTCCAGTAATTATAAGAATAGGGATGCAACTTAAATTGCATGCATAGGGCATATATTATTAAACACATCATATTGCAATTTTCTTGAAATTAAAACAATGTTGGAAATAAATCTAACAATTATGTATTTTTTTGTAGGTTAAGACCTAAAAAATCATTTAGGGTTTTTATTGAAAATGCTAATGCAAATAAACTACAAATATTATCCTAGTAAATTATGAATGTATCTAAGGTGAAATTTGAGATGGGGGGGGGGGGATTTGAGTTTGTAACTCTGCTACCTAGTTTAGCTAAACTACCATATCATGAATGTCACAAAATGCATTTTTCATTTGAGTAGTTATTAACAATGACATTTTGCAGGACTCTTGAGCCATACCAATAAGCTTATGAAACTAATGGGTTTTAATATCACTCCAAGATAAGTTTCCTTCTTCATAAAAACTTGGAAAACAAATGCAACATGTTCTGGCTTTACCATCTAAGATTCAATTGAACTTTGATAAGAATTTCTGACTATAATATACAAGCAAGTGCACAAAATATCTTAAGAAGCAACAAAGACACAGTCTTTTAAACATACAGAAGGTCTCAATGTTGTAAATGGGTAAATACAAATATCTTACAATGATATTTACTAATGCATTAAGTTCCATATATACCACAATATCATTGAAATTTAGTTATTTCCAGAAATTTATTTTTGATATATTACTAACATTTTTTATATCACACAATTTAATTCTTCCTCTAAGTAATTAAGTTGAAAATAATAAAGTTTTAATTAATGAATAAAAATACCTTTGCACAATTGAATATGGCTTGCAAAGAGCAGGGTGATTAGTGGAATTTGTTGTTCAATGAACTGATGGCCTCATTAATTTATTTCATTCAACTAATTGATTAGTCTGGCATTTCTCAAGCATTCCATCATAAAGGAGTACACATGGGTAATCAGTGAATTGTTTGGGTAGTTGTGTCATCAAAGTAAAAAAAAATATATATAACTATAATCTGTAGATGTGTAGTTTTGTATTTATATAAACTTTAAAAAGAGGTATACCAGCTTCAAAAGTTTAAGAACAACTACATTATTCTTACTCTTTTCAGTTAGTGTTTGAAGGTAATATTCCAATTACCCTTCATTTAATATGGTACTTTTTAACAGTTATCGTTTGTGCATTTTACGTAAAAAATATTTGGGTTTAGAACAATTATTTTGGCTAAAAAATGTCACAAATGCTTCTAAGAGACAATCTGAACATTTCCTACTTGGAAAATCACTAATGTTGACTTCAGATACCCATGCAATCATAATTTTTTTGTTTTTACAATATGCAATAGTCCCTCATTGATCTTTTGTAAAACAAATGTATAAATAAGTAATGAAACATGTTTACTATAATTGAATATACTGATAATGATAAAGTTTTATTCAAAACATATCACAATTGCAATTAGAATTGATTAAGTAGTTAGTCACCAAATTTATTTATGTACAATGCTTAAATAAGATAAACAGAAATACTCTATATAAATATAATAGTACTGTCTGTTGTATGTATATGTAACTACTTTGCAGGGTGTACATGGTTTTCAACAAAATTATTATTGAGGTTCACTGGGTCCATGGGATAAATTTTCAGTTTTGCATTTTGCGGTTATTTAAGGGCATTTTTGCATTTTCTACCACTACCTCACCACCTGTAGATGGATTTTCACCAAATCTGGTATCGAGGTTCATTGGATCCATGGGGAGATACATACAAATTTTTAGTTTTGCATTTTTTTAAGGGTGTTTTTATGGATTTTTCTTACCATTACTTTGCCCACTGTTGATGGATTTTCACCAAATTTGGCAAGAAGGTTTGTTGGGTCCATGAAGAATACATGAAAATTTGCAGTTTCACATTTTGTGTTTTGCAGTTTTTATAGGTGGTTTTGCATTTTTCTACAATTATATATAAGGGAAGCAACTTTTCATGTCCTAAGATAACCTTTCATTAATCATGAATTTACATAATTTCCATCCAGGGGACAGGTACTCCAGCTAGTATTCAATAGATAAGGATTTTCAGAATATTTTGCCACTGCCTACCACACTCACCATACCTAACTAAGCTTATCACATTTTATGTTAATTTGACTTGGTGAACCTAATGAAAAAAAACAACTCGTGTTTAAAACTATTGCAACTCAAAAAAACATAGTATACTATTGTAAGCTACATTTTCAATGTTATAATTTAGTTGTTTGTTAAAAGAAGATGCTTACAATGATGATGTATTAATCAAGAAGCTTCATCTAATATCTAGAGACAAGGGTAGAATATTTATAAATATAAGTTAATGTGAAGTATTCTATGAGTAATGAAGGAGAAGTTCATGAACAGTGAATTAGTATTCAGTGAGTTTATGAGCTCAGTGTTTGAAAAGTTGTTCACAGTTCAGTGTTAAAAATGAGATTTATCCCATCTATTCAGTTACTTGAACAATTAGCAAGAAAAGTCTGTAAGCACTTTTCTGTGTGAGTTAGGCACACTTACCATTAGTCTCAAAATTTCTGTTAAAACATTTGTGCACTTAGGCCTACAGCTACAAATGAAAGTAGCCTGTATTGAGCATTAGAAAAAATAAACTAATTCATTACTGTTACATGAACTGGATCTCACATTATTTTTACTAAATAATGTAAAAGAACCTGTCTAACAACAGAATACATTACAACTATATCTATTTAAAACACTATAATTTTAAAATAAGAACCTAACATCAAACAAGCTGAACTCATGTGACTTTTGTTTCATATATATTTCTGTCTCTAGGTAAATTACTTGTAACTGATAAGAAATTCTCAAATGCTGTAGATTTGTTCCTGTATCTATATATTTACAGTTAAACAAAAAGCTACACAATGGGCTATCTATACTGTGCCCACCAAAGGTATTGAATTGAAATCTGGTTTTTAGCATTATAAGCCTTCAGTCTTACATCTGTGTCAAGCTTGTAATAAGGTTTTCTCTTTACCCTTTAAGTCATCTCTAAACATTATAAGCCTATGGTATTCTAAGGTAAATTATTTCCATGCAATTATCAGATAAATCCACTTACTAATGGGAAGCTTGAGCAGGAAATTTGTGATGTAATCTGAATTTGAAAACCAACCAAGTTTTATGCAGTGAAAAATAACTAGGCTGGACACATCTTGGAATGTGTAAAACAATCTTTATTATGACACATAGCAAAAGAAAACAGTTTACATACTTGCATGGACAGAAAGAAGAATGCCTCTACTAGATTGCTGAATAAGTCAGCAGCTCTTTTACTTTTGACATATATCTGTCAAACTAAACACTCGGAAAAGCAGGTATACATCTCTAAGTATCAATGCTTCATACTGATAAAAGAAACCTCAGTTCCTTTCTTTGCAATAGAATCACCATGTGACTAGTCATTCTATCACATCATTAATAGGCTGGAACACATAGACATCATTCACTCAGTCAGCAAATGACAATGCAGTCACCCTTTCATATATTAATGAACAAAGTTACTGCAATATTCCTACAGGCAGAATAGATTCTATTTACTACTGAGAACAAAAAAGACACAAAGGTAACTGCAGCAAAACAACTTCAACAGTTTTCTGGATCATATGTTAATATATATTAAACTTCACAGAAACACACTAAATGAAAAATCTCAAAATCTTCTATATTAAAAAAGATAGTGAAAACATATAATATGCCTACAAATCATATTTCTCAAATCATCTCATTTTCAGGCTTGTCTTCAAACTGAAAATTAAATTTAAACCCAATAAACTTTAAAAAGTTATAAATCCATATTTTTACTCCATGTTTACAGTACTTATCAATTTATTGGAGTCAAAATAGGGATTTGTACCTTGAGAAAATAATGTAGACACTGTTTTCAGCCTTGTTTGTTTATTTTTTTAAAGTCCCTAGTTGTAGGCTGAGATATAATATTTGGATTTTAATTCAACTTGTCTCTTTACTTTTTTGACAATCCCTATTCTTCCTTTTTAAATTAACAATTTTTATTAATCTTGTTACTTAAGTTTCTTATGTCCATTTGTGGAGAATGAATCTTTAGCTACATACTTATATAGGCATTCAGTTCAATGTTACATGTTCTTGAACAGTTTACTGCTGCATTAGCTTTTTTCCACCCAACCACCACACTGAACTTATTCAAAATCAATAACAAATGTACAACAATGAATAAACACATGTACTGGTATGTAACTAGAACAAAATGTAAAGTTGTTCTCAAAGGATCATCGTGAAGACAAAGATTGTATCATCACAGATTTAATGACCAATTTCCATCAATACCCTAGTGTAATGTAACAAAAGACAAGTAGCAACAAAGCAATCTCATCAAAACAGAATTATGTTTCTCCTAAGATAATACAACACAGATTAATGCTTTCTAAACAGATT